ATATATAATATATTCGGATTTTTCTTAAGTAACAGTCTCAATACACAGAGAATAGTAGATATTAATTATTCTAGTTAATTAAATCTAATTAGTACAGTAATTATAAAAATAGATACAAGTAAAACAGGATATAATCAAAGATTTTAGTGATTAATAGAGATTAAATATATTATAAATATATTTTTAAATAATACTATTATATAAAGATATATATATCCCTTTTTTCTAGTAGATATTATAACAGTAAACCAATATATATAAATCATTATATAATAGTAATATAATAACATATATTATATAATAATAGTATAAAGTAAAATCAGTATAATAAAAGAAAGTAATTAGCAATTTAAAGATATTAGTAATAAGATATAGATAGTATAATAGTAACTGTATATCTCAGAAACTAAAGATTAGATTTATTTAACAGTCTAGATAAATTATATTATTAGTAAAAGCAAATCAAGTAAGAATATAAGAAATAAATAAATAAACTCTGCCTTTTAAAATCTTTATTTTAAAAAAATATTATTAATCTATATTTCTTAAAGTATTCAGCTAGCTATATCTATACTTATTTATAAATAATTATATCAGTAACAAAGCTAAGATATCTTTTATATTAGTAATTAATATGATATATTATAACTAATAAGTATTATTTTGATACTATTACTAATATAATAATTAGATTTAATATTTCTGAAAAACACCGGGTATGATAATACAAGTTTAATTTATTAAGTAACTAATATAATAATTATTTTAAGTATTACAGTCTGGTTAAAGGATAGCTTATTTTAAATAAGTAAGATAATTATATCTATCTAGTATACTAGTATACTTTTATTCTAAATTTACTTTATTATCTGTAATTTCTCTTTAACTTTCTTAATGATTATCTCTATTATTAGATATATCTTACTATTCTTAATATTATGTATAATATAATATCCAGTTAGTTATATAACTTTAATAATTCATATCTTGAATATATACAGAGAATCTTTATATTTCTAGTCAGAAATATTTCAGAATATAATCTACTTTCTGTATAGCTATAATTTAATAATCTTTTTTAATATACTATATTTCTATACTAACTTATATACTCGAGCTTATTAACTAAATTAATATTATAATTATATTATATAAGATATTAATTTATATAAACAGGTCTCTAGTCTATATATAACATATAATAATACTATTTTTAATCTTTTATAAATAGTAATCTTATATATTTAGACTTTTATATCTATACTAAAAATATATATAGTTCTTATTAATAAGATATAATTAGTCTTTTTTTATTATATTATACTAGAGCAAGAAGCTGTAAAAAGAATATAGAATATCTTTAATAAATTAATTAACTTTATAATATCTTATTAGTAATATAGATAATCCAGCTTTTAAAGAAAATATAATAATAAATTTAGTGATAAGACTCCAAGTTGAATATATTAAAAAAAGATAAACTCTATATTACTACTAGTAATATAATCTATGATAATAGTTAAGCTAGTAAGGACAGTAACAGTTATAAGAATAATAATAATAATAATAATAATAATAATAATAATAATAATAATAATAATAATAATAATAATAATAATAATAATAATAATAATAATAATAATAAAAGCAGTAGTAGCAGTAATAACAGTAATAACAGTAATAACAGTAATAACAGTAATAACAGTAATAACAGTAAAGTATTAAATACGTTAATCAGATTTTATATAATCAAGATGAAGTTTATTAAATTAATTATTCAGATATATAGATTCTCTAAATTTAAGAATTAATACTTTAATATTACTTAAGCAGTAGTATGATTACTAAAAGAATATTAAGAAAATTATTATTTTTAATTCTGATTAAAGTATATATATACAAAGTCTAGAAAAGCATGTTCAAGAAGTTAGTAATCTTATATAAAATATAAAGAGATATAAATACTATATTAGATTATTAAGATCTGTAGCACTTTCTTTCTAATATATAAAAAAATCAAAGATTTTATAATTATAAAGAGTATCTTAGCAGCTATAAATATATATTTAAAAAAATATAATATACTAAAAACCTCTGCTTGTAATAAATATAATACTTAAAATCCTGATAAAAAATAATTAAATTTATATAAATAGAGAAGACTATATAATCTTTAATATAGTATTTTTAATACAATATTCCTAATACAGTATTTCTAGTATAATTTTCTAATATAATATTTTTTATATAGTATCTCCAAAGCAATATTTCTAAAGTAATATCCTTAAATACAGTGTAGCAGTAAATAATAATATAAGAAATTAGTAAAATATAATAATTATTTAGAAATAAATAATCTAAGAAAGATCTATAAAATATATTAATAAAGAATACAGTAATAGCAGATTTTTAAAAAAATTATAATCTTAATAAAGTAATTATTCATACAGTACAGAACACTGGAATTAGATTTTTAAAATAAGATTTACTAGTCTCAGCCTTAATTTCTAGATTAAAAAATAATATTAGTATCTAAACAAACACAGTCTTACTTATTTAGATAAGAAGAAAGAGATCTTATATTTAATCAAAATTTTTATACTTTAACTTATATAATCTTATAGTCTAAGTGGTAAAATTCCAGATTTAAGATTACCAGCCTAATCTAGTAAGTAATTAAAAATTTAAATAATTTAATTATGTTAACTATCTTGAGTCTAGTATATCTGAAAACACCCTCTATTATAGTACTAAAATTAAATTAAGACTTTTTCTAAAACTAAAAAGTAAGGTAAATAAGATAGTCTAATATATATAAAGATAATATACCGCCATATTAAAAACTATATATTAAAACTATTTAATATTAAATTCTTTATATATAATATATATATATATACTATATTAAAGTACCCAGTTTAATTTTTATAGTTGCTAGAAAAAATTATTTGAGAATCAGAGTATAAGTACTAGTATAATCAGAAGAATAAGCTATCTAATGATAAAAAATATATATATATCAGTAATCAGTATATACAGAGAAAACTACTAGTAAAAAATAATTAATAATTTATTAAGTGATAAAAATGAAGTCTTACAATAGATAAAAATAAATACTAGCTATATAAAGCTAATATTGAATATATATAAAGATATAATTATATTAAAAGAGAGAAAGAATAATAAGAAGTAATAAGATACAGAATTACAGAAATAAATAGTAAAAAATAAAGAATATTAATTGATTTATTATATTAATACGGAACAGCACACTGCTATAGTATAATAATAATTATTATTTTTAATAACTATTTATCAGAAATTCAAATCTGACTCACACCTTTCTTTTTTTAAGATACTATACTATCTTTACTATACCAACACTACTATACTAATACTACTATAAAAATACTACTATAAAAATATTACTACAAAGATACTACTACAAAAATACTACTATACTAATTTCACTACGCTGACTCTACTATACTAACTCTATTATATCAACTCTACCTTGCTAATTTTACTACAAAGATACTACCATGCCAACTCTACTATATTAATACTATTATAAAGTCTGAGATGGATGTTACAGACCCCTGCTAGCTGAACAACTAGTGAGGCGGATTCGCCAGGCAGAAAGCACCAATAAGGGCAGCGCTCGGGTAAGACCGAACTGTTATTGGGGATTACCACTACGGTGCCCGGAACGGTTACACATCACGTGACCACGATGAGCATGTCACCGACAAGCTACGACATGTCAACGCTACGACCAGGACATGGCAGTGACATGAGATAACATACCAGTGGTATAACATATCATGACAACGACATTAGGAGAACGGATATATAAGGACACTCTTTCATATACTTAGCTAGTTCTGTTCTTCATGCTCAATAATACTGTCTTTAAGTAACCATACGTTTGGAAGCTTAGCGACAACACTCATCCGCACTTACTTACGGATAGCTGCGCAGCACTATTCAGCCTTACTTCTCTTCTCTTATTCAAGACCAGTTATTCCTAGATAGTCATCAGCCTGATACATCCTCAATTCAGTTGGAAGGTACGTATACCAGTGAAGCTAAGCTAACAGGAACAGGGAAGCGATCCTAGGGTTTGACAATGGATAGCAATATCTAAAGCAGATATAGATACTTAAAATAGATATAGATACCTGAGATAGACACGGATATCTAAGATAAACACAGATATTTAAAATAGATATAAATATCTAAAGTAAATATAAACATCTGAAGCGGACGGTAATATCTTAAGTAATTAATAATATCTTAAACAGATAGTAATATGTGAGTAGTAATAGATAGATAAAATAAAATAATAAGTAATATAGATATAACTGTTAAAGAATATTGAAATTAAAATTTAAAAAAATTATAGAGATAATAAGCAGAATACAGTATAAATAGAAGAAAACAGCAGTATCTTTAAAGAAATAAAATGTTATTAAAAGTAAAACAGAGCTCTGAAGGTTAGTACATATATATAAGTAGTATAAAAAAGTATTAGATAATATATAAAGAACTGTAAAGATAGAGACGTGATATAAAAAACAGTTTAAAAAATATATTTTATATTAAAAGTAGAGATGATATTGGAAATAGGAGCGGCAGAAAAAGAGAGCAGCAAGAAGAACAGTCTGAAAGATAAAAATTTTAATAAGATAAATAATACAGTAGATAAAACAGAAAGCAGTCAGCAGAACAGTAAATCAGAACATGAGATGCAAAAGATCACAGGTGAATGCGAATATATATATATGATATGGGAATCAGATTTATTAAGCAGAGAGGATCTGTCGAGCTGTGGCCGACCTTCAGGGTTGAGTATGTAGTAGTGTTCGCGTCTGCGCCCGCATGGCGTAATCATAATACCGACGGTAATGATATAATATTATGAGGCAACAAATGTCCTTTGGTCCAAGATACCTGCTGTGTGATGCGGGAGTCCCACTACCCTACGTCAGTCTCTCCCACAGTATACCTATGCCTTGGTGTAATTCTGTACTGTGTAGCGAAACCTCCTCCTTTCGGCTTTACGTGCTGATCACGAAAGGATCCATCCCCCTTCCCCTCTAATTCGGTTGATCCGGGTGCGATCAGTCCGTCGGTCAGTTCTCCAACCAAAACGGTACAAGTCCTATCCGAACCTCCCGATCGGTGCAAAGAGTGGGCCACCACTGCATCGCATTTTCAATTTGCCTGTGCATCTCTCTCCCTTAGGTACCTATTGTGTACTACTGTATCTGCCAAGTGTGCTCATGCACTCTTTTCTTCGATAGAGCTTACTACTCCGTCAAGTGCGCCCAGATAACTATTTGAAACCCAGGTATCTATATATATACTTTACTGAGTACCCAATGACCTTCCCCCAAGTTGGCTGCTCTTCAAGCAACTTAACTCCCAAAACGCAGAGCGAAGGCCTAGAGAATTGCGTTCCAGAAATGTTCGTTTGGTATAAATGGTCAACCGAGAACCTCGAATTTCAAACTTGCTTCGTCCCTCTGATACGCACCAGTCAGTCAGCATCAACTCCAGGCCGACAATACAGTTGCCTCGAATGAGTTCACGCATTTTTTTCGCCAAATCTGCTCTGGATTTCCATATGGCCTAGACGGGGGAATACTCGGTCGCAAGTCTACTACCCTCACAAGAAGGCACTACCAAGACCAGCTTGTCTTATGAAGAGTCGCAGCCCTCTCTTTGAACCTGGCCTTATCATAGACGCCCTAGGGATAGTATTTCGTTCATATAAGGAAAAAACCCTCCATGCCCTATAGACTGAGGAACAATATGCACATACGTGAATGATGGTTTGAAGATTTTAGGATGTTATCATCGTTGATGGTTGTTTAGTTAGATATACAGTGTCTTGAAAGTTTAGTTCCGGCCATACTCCGACACAAGTGATGAGCCTCATGGTAGGAATAATGGAAGAGTTGCTACCTAGATGATGAAGGGGAAGCGGAAATGTTCCGGGGTGCGGAACTTCCTCGGTTGCTCCTACCATTACCATCCAGTCCCTTGCCTAAGCAACCAACTACGAATGACCCCGGATCCGTGGTCTGAGATGCCCGGCTGATTTGCCCCGGCCCTTGGGGAACCTGGGGTAAAAGGCAAGGCAGCAAGTAAAATCGCGAGTCCGCCAGCGCTGATATTTCCTTGCAGCGGAAATGTTCCTCCCTGCAGGAGGGCAAGGATGACGAGTCCGAGACGCATCACATGGATACAAGGGTATGAAGCTGCGTTATATCAGTTGATCTGCTCCATCATCAGCTTTGGTATTTGATAAAGGCTCAACGGCGACGAAGTGACCCAGCTTATTCATCATGGCCGTCGCGGCAGTTCTATCTTTCCTGCAACACAGCATCATTAAATCCCCGCTGCAGTCACTGGCTGCAGCCGCCGTCATTGTCCCAGTCCTCTATATTATCATCAATGAATTCGTTCGAGCGGAAGCTCGAGTGTCGGGTCTCAAGGGTCCTCGGGGTCTTCCTCTAATCGGAAACCTTGCACAAATCCGCAAAAATGCAGCAGAACAGTATCGCATATGGTCCAGGATATATGGACCCGTGTACCAGATCCAGCTGGGAAATATCCCGGTTGTTGTCGTGAACTCGGCCGCGGCAGCAAAGGTCATTTTTGGAAAGAACGCCCAGGCTCTGAGTTCAAGGCCTGAATTCTATACTTTCCACAGAGTAAGCCAGACCCTACACCTGTTTTAGTCTTTTCCGTCTTTGTTCCCCCCTCCCTTCATCTTTCTTGCTCATGAACCCGGCTCAAAGAAGTCAACCAGATTGTGTCTAATACCGCCGGTACAACAATCGGGACTTCTCCATACAGTGAGTCACTGAAGAGGCGCAGAAAAGGCGCAGCATCAGCTCTCAACCGTCCGTCCGTGGAGTCCTACCTCTCGCACCTAGATGTTGAGTCTAGATCTTTCGTGAACGAACTCTACAAGTATGGGGACGGCGGAGAAACACCAGTGGACCCCATGCCGATGGTTCAGCGTCTAAGCTTGAGTTTGTCATTAACTCTGAACTGGGGAGTACGTGTGGCATCACAGGAAGAAAGCCTATTCTCCGAAATCACCCATGTTGAGGAAGAGATCAGCAAATTTAGGAGCACCACTGGCAACCTCCAGGATTATATTCCTCTATTACGACTTAATCCGTTTAACGGCAGCTCGAAGATGGCCAAAGAGATGAGGGACCGACGTGATAAGTATCTCACTGCTCTCAACCGAGACTTGGACGATCGCATGAAGAAAGGCATCCACCAACCCTGTATTCAGGCGAATGTCATTCTCGACAGAGAAGCGAAACTGAGCTCCGAAGAGCTTGTCTCAATCAGTTTAACCATGCTTTCTGGAGGGCTCGACACCATCACGACGCTCGTGGCCTGGAGTATTGGTCTCCTTTCTCAGCGGCCCGATATTCAAAACAAGGCTGTAAAGGCAATACGAGAAATGTATGATCAAGATCAGCCATTGTGTGACCCCACAGATGATCAGAAATGTGTGTATGTCGCAGCTTTGGTGAGAGAATGTCTGAGGTACGGCGTCTGGCAAAACTCCAGACTTGAATTCCAAGTGCAATCATGTTGATGATATACAGGTATTTCACGGTGCTTCGTCTTGCGCTCCCCCGGACTTCGATCAGAGATATCACGTATAATGGCACAATGATCCCGGAAGGCACGGTGTTCTTCCTAAATTCATGGGCCTGCAACATGGGTAGGTTGTTAGTCAATGGAAGACTCTATCGTCTCATAAAATTCATCAGCTGACTCTGTCTCTCAAAGACCCTGAAGTCTGGAGTGACCCGGAGGAGTTCCGACCAGAACGATGGATCGAACAACCAGATGCTCCTATATTTACCTACGGGATGGGTTATCGCATGTGCGCTGGCTCACTCCTCGCGAACCGTGAACTATATCTTGTCTTAATGCGCACCCTCAACAGTTTCCGCATTGAGCCACTCGGTAAGGCCGATTGGCATCCCGTTCGGGGCAATTCGGATCCCACGAGTCTGGTGGCAATTCCTCAGAAATATAAGGTTCGATTCATTCCTAGGGGCGGAAAGGCACTTATAGATGCACTGGGATAGTGAATGAATGACTGGCGATTGGGGTTGAGTTGATGTGAAGCGTCGCTGCCACGATCAACTTCGAATAATTGCAAACTTCCAGAATGAAGGCTATCTTCTCTTAAACGACGTGGGATCGTATTAAGGGGAAAGGAGCTTCCAATTGACATCGACACCTACCTGGCGTTACATTACTGAAGCTAGGATTTCCCCCTTGGAACTTAAAATACACTCAAAACGTACCCTTCTTTGGTTCACCCTGAAGGATCTGCGCCTTGAGAAAGACAAGCATGCGAGTTATATTATGTTTAGAGATTACTTTCAGTCATTTTCCCTGGATAAATATTGCGGTTTGAAGAGTACTATATATTCTTCAAGCGATAACGCACATTATACGGGTTGCAAGGATGGTGGGGGCGGGGAAACGTAGTAGATGACTGGTTTTTGGTGCATCGGGTGGTGATAAACTTCGAAATGTACATCTTCGAAATGTACATAGGCTGTGACTGTATACTTGTATTCCCAACTATTATTTTCTCGTTTCCTTCGGTTCCCCATAGCTATCTCCTAAGTAGTGTCTTCTTTGGTTTTTTGTTTTGTTACTTTTTTGCCCTTTTTCCCTGCTTAGTTGCTTTCTTGTTTGTGTTGGTCATGCCAAAAGCCACACCGCAGACCTGCATGCGACCCAGAAGCGCCAAGTTGTATGATTGGTGTGGGGTATAGATCTTCCGTAGGGTAGAGATGGAGATAATGGTATTGAAGGGTGACTGATCCTCTCAAATGAGCTGGATAGTGGCAATGGAATGCGACAAGTTCGACCTGCTTGTCCTGACCAACGCAGCCACTCTGTCGTATTGAATAACATATGATAGTCGATACATCATAGGGGTAGATATTTGGGTGGGCCACAGCTCCCTTTTTATGATGTAAAGCGTCTCTTTAGATCACGGACATGATCAAAACTGCTTGCGTAATCTCGTAATTCGTTCTTAAACTGACCTGCAGCCACGAAGGGCTGCGATGAATTGCTATGGATGGAGGAGAGCGATGTCTGTGAAGAAGACGGTGAAAGAACTCTGGTGGGATATTGGAAGCCAGATGAACTGATGGGGAGTGCGTCGATTTTTGTGAGGGAGCTGGTAACAACTCGCTCAGCTAAACTGAGGGCTCTGGTTGGTTGTGGGCACACAATTGCATGCGACCCTATCCCCTCCTTCGAAACAATATCTAACTCGGCTAACCTGCAGGCTTGGGAGCAATAGGGTCCTCCCAAAGTCTGGCGGTCACATGCAAGACAGAAATCAAGGGACCATTCCGTAGCCATCCCGGCTGATAGATGAACGAGCCAGTGACCCGCCTCTGTTCGCAGATAAGGGAAGGAAATGGGAAGGGGGAGACTTGAATTAAAGTAGTTGTTTCTCTTGAGATTGAGGAGAGGACGGGGAGACCGGATGTGCTTTGGGTGATGATGACCCGGGGATGTGCGTCAATCCCTATCGGGGTATAAAAATAGTCACAGGTATCAATAATTTCAATTCTAACTGGCAGAGAAAGAATTGGCAGAGAAAAAGTTCGTGTGAGGTATGATATAAGGTGCAGGGTTTATATGAGGGAGGGTCAAGGCTGTCACACTATAATAATCCAATTCGATATCATTCTTGCGAACCAGCTAGGTCACGCAAGGCCAACAACCTAGTACCCAGGGTTGTGAGGGCAAATCCCGCTGGTAGACCAAGGTCCGTATATGATGACAGTGGATGGAGTATACAGCGGTATGTCAGGGAACCGTTATGGCGAAAAGATGAAGGGCGGTTCGGGAACAGATTTCTCGTCCAGTGCGTAACATGACATTGGGCTGGTCTGTCAACACAGCGCCGAGTCAGATGGTAAGTGAAGGAGGCAGTGGGCTATGGTGTGGATATATATAGGTGGACGGCCACCTCAGGTGCCAGTGGCATGCACCCACCTCCTTCAGGAGAAAGAGGGGAATACGGTTTGTTTAGTATGTATCACTATCACCAGGTACCTTATTGCAGATCTGCAAATTGGTAGGTACTTGCATACCCGTACAAAGTACATACAATACGTGTGGATGTATCTACTGTATGAGATAGCACGTACTCCTACTACTACCGGATTTAGTACTAGCTGTAGGCGATGGATGGGCTGTAGGCACAAGGCACATTGTTGGGGCGGGGCCGAGTGGGGTAAAGAGGGGTTCTAACTTCGGACCCAAACTTACGTACTACTTAGAATGTACATAAGTAGTAAATTGTGATGGTCTCTTGCCATATATAGCCTAGCTGATTTTTTTTCCAGATGCTTTTCTCCAATATTAATAGTACTTACTACAAGGTGCAGGGGGTTCTAGACGGTTGGACCACCTAAGACCAGATAGATATAGCCCCCCCCCTCCCAACTAAAGTTAGGTGGCGGTTGAGTTCTGAAGGTCGGCAACACTTTACTAACTTGTCAAATTCTAAACGTCCCGTGGTCACTTACTTCATACATCAATATGATGTGTATCTACCATGTGTATGATACACTCATATATCAATTTAATATACTCTGTATTATAAAATTTATAGTAATACACAGTACGAAGTACCAAATATTTAGATTCATGGTGCCGAAGGAGGATCAATTCATAGTATCTACCTAGCAGATGCCCATCCGGGATTGTTATTAATTAATGACTTCTTCGCCCTACCCGCCCATCATCATCATCACGCAACGCCAACTGCATTGTAAGGTGGGGAATAGCCGACGGCTGATGTACTTCCAGCCCCTCAATTAGGTCTACGTACTAGCAGGTTCATCCCTAAATCAATAACACTTTTTGCTTATCACACCCGGGAATGAGCTTTGAATTTAGGGATAGGGGTTTGCTAGACCCTCATAACATCCAAAATTGTGTGTGACTTCCACAAATAGTATTAGTAAAAGTAAGATGCCATAAAATGAGAAGAACTCGTTGATAATCCCTGCAGCTTGATCTGATTGGTACGGAGTTGAGTTAATAGTCTTTTGCTCATGTATTTTAATGTCAGGAGAGAAGGTGTAAAATCATTTGTTAAATGAAAAAAACCAGCTATAATATTTCTAAATCAAGTTTGGAGAAGCTGAATATACATAAGGCTGGGGTTGTGGTTTAGTGGTATAATATTCCCTTAGCATGGGAGAGGTCCGGGGTTCGATTCCCTGCAACTCCATCTTTTTTACTCGTTCTGAGCCTAGTACTCTATTCTGAGATCAACCCACCATCAATCACTAAACTGCAATCAAAAATGGCTGAGGCGATCTATTCAAATGAACTTTTAGGGGTGAAATATTACTGCTAGGTAGATACTCGAATTGCGTTGTTTGGCTAATACTTAGTTTAGTGTCCTTCTCTCAGCTCGCTCGCTACCACCTTGTATAGATAAGAAATTTTTATGATGAAGCACTTATGATGGGGTGTGGTTTAGTGGAGACTGGAGAGTCAGGTTGATTCCCCGCAACCCCTTTATTGTTTGTCTTGTTTGTTTGGTGATCTAGAATATCACCTTGTTGGCAGACTGGAGGAAATCCACCGGTTACAGCAGCAAGATAACTGAACATTAGTGTGATTCTTTACATCATACAATCCAGCCCTGATACTCTTGGGCGTCATCTATAAGGACATCTATGTTTCTATTACGTTATTGTCATAATTCCCTACCCTTGTAAATGATATTGTTTGCCATAATCTAAAATCCAACAATATAGTTCGAGATTGCTATAGTCTGCCCAGCATAACGAAAATTCACAAGTATCCAGGGAAGTGGCAGAGAGCCTTGGCAATATCACACCCCAGAATGCAGTAGACAATGTCATCACCCCAAAGTGCACCATAGACAAGCAAGATCTGCCATTCTTCTCTTCCACGATACCACTAATTCCAGATACTCTATCCTTCACAGAAGGACACGATAATATTTAGAGAGGTTCAGATTGCAATGACCAAGCCAAAGCTTCCCCACAACCCGGCGTTTGTTGCATAGAGCGTTGCTTCCCCAGAGAGTAAAATATGGTGAAGCTGACTGCGAGGACGGTACCTAAGACCCAGCTTGAATCTTGCGCTTTCGAGTAGGTATAGCCATGGGCTCATGAGTGGTTGGTGTTGCAGTCAGATCCATTGAATTGCTCTATCAAGCTGGCCATGTCCCATTTCCTACCAATGTGCTTCAATTCTGGTTTCTACGCACCCCGTGTCTCGCCATAGAATGCGCATGGACACGAAGGGAACTTCTAAATTAGAAGGGTTGACTTATCATGATCGTACGCCAAGAGTCATTAATTACCCGGCTTTTCCTGCTTCGCAACAGGGATTCGCACCAGTGTGGCGGGCATAGGAGAACCATCTGGTGCTTTTCGAGTGGTAGAATCTGATCTGTACTCTGCCGGGTATTCCATACTCGCAGCTTTCGCTGTGAAGGGACAACGTCTCAGCAACTATTGACAAGGAGGCTTCTCGAGAAGAGACCAAACTTACTTGAGGCCATGCTGATCGCCCGCAGTACATTATCCCAGTTCGCAAGGACACAAGCAACAGCTAAAGTCGATAGGAAAATTAATCAGGACAACTCTACCCGGTGTCACGGTTACCGACAAACCTTCTGTGCCATCTTTAAGTGTCACAAGTTTGTCCTGTAATGCCTTCATCTGCGATGCGAGTGCTTCACTCATATCACAGAGTTGCCTCAAGTTGTCTAACTCGGCACGTTTTGATGCGATGCGGGTTGCTAGGACGGAGGACTGCTGTTGTGTGATGCTAGATTGCTGATTTGGCTGTCGGGATGAGGATGCTGAAGCTCCTGCAGGGAACATGGCAGTAGAACGAGACATATATGCCATGGCTAAAAATAAATCCCTACGGGCAGAGATTGAATAAAGTGCCGATATTCTCGAGGCGGCAGAGGGGTATGTAGACCCCTTAGATTGCACGGTTGCCAAGATCCCTACAGTTAGGGCTAGTAGATGCAGTGATTAAATCTAGCACAGCAACAAGATCAAAATTGATGGAAATGTGGGGGTGTAAGAACACTATCTGGGGACAGGTGCAGTGAAGATTGGTGATATAGGTAGGTGGTAGGATCATCAGAGCGTCGCGGACCGGCGCAGGCCCGCTAGTCCTGATTGGGACAAATGTCAACAACCTTAACTGTTTGTTATCTCGGGGCACCCACTCACACCTGTTTACTTTGCCCCGACAAGTTGGACCACAATAAACCCTCGTCGTTTATCATTGCAGACAAATAGAACGAATTGTCGAGGGCTTCTCTGGTTCGATGGAACTCTGGGTGATTGGCTGCCTACAATAAAACGAGACGGGACCGGCAGTCAGTGTTGCCTCCTTATGCAGGTTATGGCTCGCTTAAATGAATCATCAGCACCAACTGAACATATCGAGGCCCGTAAGCATCCCCTGAAAGTTTCAAAGCACATTGTTGAAGCTGACATGCACCTCATATAAGTGAAACGGCGATTTGTGCGACAGAACCGTGAGATCGCCCGGGTCAACTCCATACAGTCTCTTCGCATCCGCAGCCTCGAATCTGAAATCTCTCATCTTCTTTCCGAAAACGTCTCGCTTAGGGAGCAGGTTATAAGACTTAGTCAGGATATAGAGAGATACGAGGCTGCCCGGTTGCTCCAGGATGGGGTTTACGACATCAAGACAAGACTAGACAACAAGTTGGCTGAGCTGAATAATTTAGTGGCTGACCTGGGCGCACTTCCGCGCAGACTCTGCAACAAATCAACAGAAAAACCTCCATCTGCAGATCATACCCGGTCAATCTCAGATTGGAGGCCCAAGTCCACCGATGACGAGCTAAACGTCAGGCAAGATGAAAATGGGAGGCTTCCAGTTATCCTGGAAGACAAATGCTACCCCAGAAGGACCGAGTAAGCAATTATGACCCCGAGTCTTTGATGTATGTTGCTCACTGTTGATAGGTCTCAAGATCTGCAGGACATGGAGGTTAACGGTACTGATATCATGCGTATTCCCAACCTTGAGGGGCCCGTGGCCATGCAGCCAGACGCGGAGGATGACGGCCGCTCGTCTAATAATTCTCACGATGCCGAGGACGATCAGTCTCTGAGCTATGAAGCACACATATCAACCGACGATGATGCATTTTTGCCTCCCACACTTGAGACTAGGAAAAGGAAAAAGCACAATCTCGCACAAATGAATGTAGAGTGCTCTAATGCGGATCCCGGGCCATCCCCGGTACGAGACGACTCGGAAGCTAGAATGAATCCTGGGACCAAGCGCAAGTTTTCCGTACATCACGGCGATAGGCTAGAGTCGACACCGACTCACAACGACAATCTACTCCCAAATCTGCAGTCTCCCTCACCAGTGGGCAGGGCCGGGCATTCACTATCGCCTGGTAGTGAGGGTACTCCATCAAGAGGAGAGATCCAGCCATCGAAGGAGGGGAATATAAACTACAGGCTTGCGAAAAGGAAAGCACTAGAGCATAGTACGTCGCGTTCTATCCTGATGTGGGGTTTCCGGCAGCTGATGAGGAGACAGGAAGCACCAATATTAGCATACTCTTACCTGGAAAAGAAGATGCTGCAGTTGCACAAGAGCCGACGGATAAGGTCACTACACCACGATTAACAGGCGAGAGGGGTGGCAAGGGCGGATTATCCCCGATATCACCCAAAGTGGATATAATTAGTGCACAGTCAAGGCGGACATCTATATCTGGACAGTGTCGACTCGACCAACCCACAGATGACAAGGAACATAACGGGCACACCATTCAAGAATCAAAGGTGCCAAAAATAAAGCCCGGTACGCAATCACCATCGGGGCCAACAACCCGAAGCGAATCAAGAACATCAACTTTTGTGCCTTCTGAGCCAATGAGGCCTGCGAGACGCCAAAGGGCCATTGTAAGCTACACAGAACCGAACTTGCGAGACAAAATGCGACGACCTACGAACGAGTTGATAGCAGCAGTTGGTGACCGGCCAAGACGTATATCTGGTTCTCTTAATGCACGATCGGATACAACCGATGATGAAAATCTGGTCAAGAATGAAAAGTGGAATGATCGAAAACCACGACATTCGGATTTCACAAGCAAAGAATCCAAATTACAGACGATAGAAACGCCCACCAGTCTTTGTACACAGCAGATGAATGTTTCCGAGAGAAAACGCAAGACTTCTCCGGCAAGCGAAATTGATATCACGGCATCCCAAGGGATTGCAACTGGGGCGCACCCTCAGTGGGTGGCTAAGGAATGCAATGACGAGGAACCAAAGGGTACAGATGATCATACCGAGACGCAGCCGCCGTGGAAGATGGGCAATAATACAAGGAATCTTCCAGCTAATGCGTGCAAAGAAAGACAAACTACAGGTCGGCAGCCTAGACGACATTCCTCACACCCTGAGCATTCCGGGGAAAACAGAAGTCAAGCAGCAGACCAAGACATTAGGAGCATAAAAAGCCAAGATGCTTCTCCATCAGAGGCCCGAGCAAAGAACCCAGCTCCCACAAAGACCCTTGAGGAATTTGCGATCCTGAACCCTCAGGCACTGAAAGCAACAGAAAGCACCCACATACACTCGTCTGCTACGACTCTGACGGATGCAAAACGATCAAGGCGCGGGCAGCGTGCTGCAGCTGCAGCGGCTAGGAGGAAAAGCATGATGTTGTGAAATATAATTCCTAGCTGAAGACAAGCGGCGCCTACATTAGCCGGTCACCCATAGATCACAACAGGAACCTTAATTAGTTAAATTTGCCTTCCATTAGATATTGATGGGGATTGGCCCCCGGTATGGATCCCATGTGCCATGTATATTGGCACAGTCTATTTTACTTTCGGTGCGCAGTACTATGACGGCCCAATGTTATCCAAGGAAACTCGCCATACAAGGCTGGAAAAGCCGTGATAACGGACTCAGCTGGTAAGTATCGGATACTGTATCTCCGATTGAGTACGAGACTCAAGAGTTCGAGGTCTACGGGATAAACCACGTCGCTTGAGAAAGAGATTAACATCATCAGTCACTACAAATCGCAGTAGTGCCCTCAGACTTTAGAGCTTGCAGGCAAATCACGGCTTCACTCCACACGAGAAGAGCTCGAGGGTTTTCAGCGGCCCTTCGCGGTTTTGGGCATCTTTTCGTAGGCATTTGGGCTTGGTTTTCGCTTCGCCTTTTTTGCATGGCGATGGGCTGGTCGTTCTCCTCCTGGTGAAGCCCTTTGGTCACAAGTGATGTGATTATCGTTTTGATTTGAAGGCCGGCGCTGTCCTGACCTTCTATGATAGCCCGATTCGCTGTCGCTATCTGTATCAGAATCAGGCGCACTGGAGTCTGAGGACTCGGATTCTGAGCTACTGTCGCCAATAGACCGGTTTTTGTGGTAAATGCAGCATACTGTCCCATGAGCAATTTTCACATTAAACGTTAGCCCAAAATCAAAAGTATAACCCATCACGCATTGATTTTACCTTTGGAACTTTTCTTCCCCATTCCTTCGTTGTCTATGACATCTTCACTCCACCGTATGTGTCGAGATGTGCTCTCGTCCTGATTGAACGTACTAGCAGCGGGCCCATCTCCTGCTCTTAACCGCAAGGTGGCTGAGACAAGAACAGCTGATGGATTGTTGGGATGCTCCTCGGTCGATTGAATTTGAGAACTACTTGCTGCCTCTGACGGGACCTGGCGAGTCCGAGACATGGTTGTAAGCCGCGATTAGTACGCAGCTCAGAACGCGAATGAAGGCGCCAGTTATTAGTTGGTAAGATTTCGAGGGGTAACAAAGAAATGGTGTGTTGTATGTAATTGTTTGGCCAGAAAAACGTGTGACTGGGAGGGATATGATGTATCTTGTCACAAAGGAGCAGAAACCAAGGTACCTCACCGCTTTTGCCAGAGTGCTAGGCTTCTTTTCCAATTGTTACATAGACCAGCACATTTTCAACTTGTTTTGCTTTTTCCCGTAGCCTATCTCCATTTCTGATCATAGCCTACTAATCCCGGTTCAATGGGTGTATTTAATCTCGAACTTTGAAATGGGCTGCCACTGTATACTACCAGCGGGAATGCATAGGCAAATGGTTGATTGATATCGCAATGCCATCTGAAAGCTCCAAGATTGTTTTTACATGGGGTTCACATTATAGAGAACATCGAAAGTAAAGAAAAGAGAAGCCGCCAATGACGACCAAAAGATAAAATACGTCCTGAACTCAGTGCTTGAAATACTGATCCGTTTCAAAATTAAAGTCCGTAACAGGACCAGCCATCAAACCAGTCACTTTTGGAAAAAGCCCTGGACCCCCTGCTATGTGCTACGGCATCGGAAGTTGAAAGCGCTATCTCAGAGCGCAATTCCTTGTCCAGTCATAGCTCATCCTCTTGATCCAGCTCAGATGGCTTCAATAGACCTCCTACCCTCATTGCACGGTCTCGTTCGGCAGCTTTAGCATCACGCAACGCTTGCTCTCGTTCTTCCGCATACAAGTCCGCATTATCACCAGAGAACTCCTTCAGTGATATCAAGAAATCACGCAGGTGAGTCTTGAACTTGTTGAAGTCATCATTGAAGGTAAACAGACCAATAACGAATTGTTTGATTTGAATCCTGGAAGGGGTTAGTTCACTTCTCATTTCCTTTGCCACTTGAAGATTGCCATGCTCGGATAGGACCTACTCCTGAAGATTTTTGAAAGCGTTTTGTAGGAGATTCGCAACATATTCTTGTAAGAAATCTTTGTTGGATGTCCCCAAGGGAGCCTGTTCAGGGGAATAAATTGGATCCTGCACTTTGCCAGACTCAATAAAGTAGAACATGCGCGACAACAGCATGGCCTGCGACTTGAATCCTGTTGTAACCTGAATCAGCATGATCCTATCTGAACCAAGTAAAGAATTGCGCACCCGCTTTGTGATCACTGTCCGTGAGGACAAAAAATACATCCTGCAGGATAGGAATGTAAAATTGTCGGAAGAAGATATTTGAAGTTTGGGCATCAGTGTCTGCCATGTTGTTCATTAGTTCAAGGCACATTGTGAGACCTGTGTTTTCGACTTCGCGATTGTCGTGCTTGCTAGCCCACATGCAGGAATCAATGACAAATTTGAACTGTGTAGCATCGAGCTTGAGCAACGCTGGAAAACAGTATAAATTGATCGCCTGAATCAACTTAAAGAACTGGACACGGTGCTCAGGATATTCATGAAAGTCTTTGTTGATCATCTCCAATGTGCATTCGAAGACGCTTTCCATGATCAGGGGGACCTTGTCTTCCATCAAGTTCTGAGATACCCAAGTTAGCTTCCAGTTCGAATTTATCAAGCATGGTGCCGGCCAGTGGGGATTTTCGTACATGCAACTTGTGGATTATTGTCGTCATAACATTCAAGACTTCTGCCTCCCGCGCATCAGGAACATTGCGATTGTAATCAACAAGAACGGCCTCCAGTAATGGAGGGACCATGTTTGCATTGACCATCTCTAGGTCATCAGCTTTCTGCACATAAGTGTCAATGAGTTTGAGGATCTCTTTCTTGATTGTCCGTAGCCCCCTGACTTTCGGGGTCTTTGTTGCAATGTTGCCTATCGAACGGTTAGAAATTTTATTACACGGTACTCCTAGTATTCGCAACGGGCAAAGGGAAAGCAATTGACGAGACGAAACAAGGCAAGGAAGGGCCTCATAGGAGCATGTCATTACCATCATGTGCAACGGCGTCACTGATAAGCTGGCTGGATGCACGAAACATGTTCAGCATGTCGTGATAAATCCGCCCGAGCTGGGAGTAAAAGTAAGTGCCGATCGAAGAACATGCTGCAACGTTCGTTTTCATGATATTTCCGATGATCTTTATCGTCTCACCATCCTGGAGAATGGCGGGATTTTGATTAGCCTGTACTATGATAGCATCCCAAGCGGAGTTAGGCAACGACATAAGATTCTCAATCAAGCGATCTTGGAGGCCTTTCTGGCCTTGCGCCGAGATCATATAACCGCAGGCTTCGTAAAAGGTGTGGACCTGCTGAGGGGATAGGTCACATGTGATCTTCCTCATGTTCCGAACAATTTCCTCGATAAATGGCTCATTCTCTCCTGGCTGAAGCGCGACAAAATGCCGCCTGCACTTGTTCGCAATCTTGATGAACGTATCGCAAGCCATATCCTGGACACCTGGGTTCAATTAGAAGAAATGCGTCAATTTGAAAGGCGGGAAACTCACCTTCGTGCGTCTCATGCATGAATTCGAAAAGCTTGTTAACAACTGTTTTCAGAAATTTCCAGTGGGCTTTCAAAAACCTCGGGTACTGTCCCACGATGTACATGATATTACTAGCGACGACGGCTTTGTTATCCTTTCCGCGCTTCATCTCGGTGAGACCAAGGAGATCCTTAATGACATTGACAAGGAACCGCTTTTCGGTCTCTTCGTTCATGGCTCCAGAGATTGAACCAATTGCCCAGCAGAGAGTATTACAATTGGCCCAAGACCACTCAGACCCGTCAACCTGTTTGGCTAGCTTTTCGATCATAATATTCTCTGTATCGATGACATCCAAGTGCGTGAGATAGACAAGACATTCACGTATTGTCTTGTAAAGCTGGATGGTATCGCTTTCCTTGACGAATTCGCGAACTATTTCGCCTTCGTCATTCTCAACGATCAGGACCTCCTCAGGGCGCACCATCTTCTCAATCATGACCGTACGCAGGCTCGACAGGACCTCCTCGTATTTGTGTTTTCGAAGAGGGTAGTTGGCCAATGTGCTGGGATGCGGTGCACCTCCGTTCGACAGACCGCTAACACCCATGCTCACTAGAGGGTTAATGTCTGTGATTGGAAGCTGCTGCATCTCTTCATACAATTCTTGCACTAGCCGTGTCCAATATTCTAGGCAGATTTTGAAGACTTCCCTATCATCAATCTGACTGATACGAATAAGGTAGAAATGAGCGTGTGTAAGATAGTCGCGATTAGGTAGTTTCTCGACGAGCTGGCCGGGTTAGTGAGACTGATTTCCATATGAAAACTCGGTAAAATAGGCCAGAAGGACTCACATTGAGATGAGCACTAAAGAAGCTGCAGAGGAACAGTGCCAAATTGAGCACGAATTCTTGGTCTCTCGAGTTGCTCTTGGCATAAGTTTGCTTCAAATCCATTGATAACGGAATGATTCTCGAGACTACAGTAAGTGTCTCCGTGAACATATGAACCAGTCTTTCATCGTAGTTATAGGGGTTGCCAATTTGTAACCCGCCGATCTCTGTAAGGCACTTGAGCGTGACATTTCTGAATTCGGGAACATCCAGAAACCGCGTTAGCAGAGTGTTTATAATGGGAGTTTCAAATATATATCCCAGGGGAATCCAATTCAAGAAACGAAGCAGAGTCTCCAGTGTAGCTTTGATAAGACTCGGCTGGTTCGCCGTGTTCAGGACCTCAGAACACAGTTGGAAGATGGATGAAAACTCTTGTGTCATAGAGGTCTTCAGATTTCTCGCTTTCACGGAGGTCATTTGATCCTGGGAGAAGTCGAATACTTCTTCGGACAGGAGACGAAGGATTGCCATATTGTTTTCGCAGATGGATAGACTTGTGTGGCACGACGAAATGATTTCGTTGATAAAGGTTGGCCAATTATGTGGCCACTCCTGCTTCAAGATCGAAACAAGGACTAAATTGAGCTTGTTCAGAAAAGCACGTTCACTCCTTAACTTATCCTCTGACTTGGAGTTTTCAATGATGAAATTGACGATGAAATTCCGAATGCCTGGGAATGTTAAAACAATGTAACAGCCTGTGTCATTGAGATTGAATTACCTAGGCATTGTTCCCTCGGTAAGACCTTCCATCGCGTCATAATCACATCGTCAAGAACCTGAAGAGCAAGATCTAACATTATCAGCGGACAGCCGATTATAACATGGAATGTGGTGGTGCCTCCCACATTTGGTCTGTGGATATGTCGATTCTTGTAGGATGTTTCCCACAATTAGCCAGGCATCTGGATTTTGCTTGAACTACTCATCGAATACAAGTCAGAGCTATGCGGATTGGATATTGATGCAACTCCGTTACTCACCTCTGTTAGGGTCTGCTGAGCTTGCTTTTGCTGTGAAACGGATTCTCACATCAGCCTCTAATCCGACATTTTTCTCCATGAAAAGCCAACAAGTAAAAATGAAAAGGTCCACTTCTTGCAACATACCAGGTCCCCCTTGCCCTCATAGAAGGCCCGGACAGTGTTGTCCAACTCTTGTATGGAAACAGACATTCCGCTCCAGAGGCTGACGGTACGGTATTCTGCACACCTCGGCCTTCAATAGACGATGTAAGCAGGCGAGATCCGAAAATGACTCGAGGGGGTCTAGAGAAGGCCGTAGATATTGGAAGGCGTAGCAGAAAGAGTGGGCGGGCAGAATGTATGGTGGGGTAGGAGGCTTTCTTGGAGGGGTTAGTCGGAGGTCGGGTGAGCTTGGAGCAAACTTCGGCTTCAAGATGCACCAGTCTTCGAGATGCAGAAGGTAAAGTGGGGTGGGACAACTGTGATTTAGGATGTGAGTTCTGGCTCTGGGATATGGATATTTCTGGAAAAACAATGGGTACTACGGAGTACTGGCGGTGAGAACAACGCGTCTCTCAGGTTGTTGGCACTACTCTATCGGGCCGGTGCGATGTATCTCCAGCTTAGATTAGTCATCAGCGAGTCAGAGTCAACACTGCATACAGAGTATGGGCTGGCCGATGGGAAGTTGTTATCATATCACTTGTAATATGATAGGTATGGAGTAGGATGCTTTATATGTGGTACGGTATATAGATAAACAGGTTTGCATCTATTAAACTGTATAAACGCTCCGGTCTTCGCAAATATTGAGCGATCCAGCCCTATAAATAGGCTCGTTAGCTTATACTTATCTGAATTGATACGGAGTATGGAGTAGTACTCTCTCACTGATTTATTATACCTAGCTCGCTCTAAACCCAGTTGCATTGGTGAAAAAAGGCCCCGGTATTGGGAAAGGCAGCAAAGGGCCTTTTCTATTACTACTCCCTTCACCCGTACCTTAGAATATACCCATGAGTCTGGAATCTGTCTTTAAACTATGCCTCTGAAATTTTTGTCCCCGAACTATCACATTGTCAATGTTGTTCAGATGCAGGGTATATGATTTTGTGGTCTATGACCATACAGAGTAACCCAACTCCCGTCATTGCTAATAGCAGTCCCTAAGGGGGCACAGAGTTAACATTCAACAACAGTAATAATCACCCTTCAATTGGGGTTTCCAATACAACACTCCCCCCAAAAGATAAATACATAAATTTCCAGTTTTCTCTATTCACTAAGAGAATCACTCTGATAATCCCCAATTTACGAAGTGACTCGATAATATACAGAGCCCCAAGGAGGCAGCTGCTACAAAAGTGACCTATGAAATAACACAATAAAGAACATCTCTATATAAATAGATATACTATCGTATTACTCCTCCATAATACACGCAAGCCTACTGCAGTACAAGCTAGTACTAGATAGTATTTACCAGCGTACGGAGTACTCCGTACAGTCAATGCCTTCTTCCGAAAATTTGAAAGGGCAATTTCAGTTTACTCCGCAGTACAGCATGGATTGGTACTAACCGTAACCGCGTCCATTCTGACTGGCGCCAATGGCGAATAATTGGCGGAAGAGGAAGGCACTGGTAACTAAGCGATCAAGCTAAGCGGTAGAAAGTCTGTCCCACCCACCACAGTTGTGAATGCGCAGGTCGCTTCGACCCACCAGGAACTTCTTCCGCCGCCGCCGTGCCGCGCTTCCCTCGCGGGTAGGCAGAGCAAACCACTGAACCAAGGCGAGTCGTCCCCCCCCCAAGGTGGCGTGTCGCCTGAGCGCGCCATCGCTCCAACTCATGCGTCTTCGAACTTCATGTTGGACCAACCAGATACTGTTTGTCCGGGATGTGGTAGCCAACCAGTTTCTTCGCGCTGCCCATGGCCGATCGCGCGCCAACTTCGAGTGCTCAGCAGCCAGCTGGCAGCCGCATCCTTCTGTTACGAAGTACGACACCCAATAAACGGTCTTAACTTCAGGGTGCATCCATCCCACTACTGCTAGTACCTACCTCGACTCCCCTGGTCGACCGAAGCCTCAACTCTCTACATTACTATTTTCCTTCCCGCCCCCTCCCTCCGGCTGCTCGTCTTCCCTTTTCCCTTCTTGGGTTTTGCAATTAGGTACTATTGGCTCCTTAGTGAAATGCCTCGTTTCTTGATTCCCACCTGCAGGCGGCAAAAAATCCATTTTACTATTCCGTCTTGACATACTACTCGCTGACTTATAATTGTTATCGCTTGCCTATCCATCTTCTCTCCACTGCTAGTACGACCACGGCCACCACACTTTCCCCTCCTTGCCTTGACGCCCTTCCCCTCTTTCTATTTAGTAACCGCTCTATCTCGAATCCATGGCTTTTTCCATACCACATTGACGAGAGACGGCCAGGCAATTATCACCTCGTTTACTCAGCCTAGTCTAGCATCTCTATCAGATCAAGTAATTTTTTGCGCTTCATAGTCACACCCTTTTTCTGCTATTCGCTTGTCCTTTCTTGAAAAGAGAAACTTGCTTTTTATCTGCTCTTTGCGATCGTCCTTACTCATGCGATATTCTGAACCTTTGCACTCATCCTCCCGCGCTAAATAACTATTCCTTGCCTCTACAGCCAGGCCCCCAACAGCTCAGATTCAGCCTCATTAATGGCACAACCTTAGGGGTAGTCATACAAATTATTTAATCGTTCACTGGCGGTACCCCCCATTTTATTCGTTATCACACTCCTATTCTCTTTCCCTCCAGCATAGTCGACTTGCGCGATATATACCTTCAGGTCAATACCTTGCACAACTTCCAAAGTTCGCACCCCTTGGTGCGTACCGCCACTTTGGTTGAATTGGCCTAACCCTCATTCGCTTTTTTTTGTTTCGCAAATGAATCAATTCGACGCGCATGATCCAGAAGATAATAGAAGAAGTTTCGAGACAAAGCGCCTAGGGGATTCATCGGCCATTAATCAGTACGTGGCGGTGATCATTCTTGAGTATAGGCCAACGGTGATCTCAAACCAAATGTTGGATAGTTGGACCTCGTTCCTCTTTAAACTCTAAAAGTTCATTACAACCCGGCCATCTTTTGATCATGGCAACAGTGGCTTCCACGTCGGTAATGAACGACCATGACCCCGAGAAGGAGCCTAGGTCAGACCATAGCCCTTCCCGATTTACTGCGGTGAATGGGAAAGAGACCTTGATTAGCGCGGGATCTGCGCCCACGCCAGCTGCCAATGGTTCCTCAGGCAATGAGGAGCACCTCGAATCATCCGATACCTTGATACGAAATGGTTTCGATACACATTCTCGCCTCGACGAACAAATACAAGGAAACAGAATCTCTGGGAGCAGTAAGACCTCAAATGAGCAAGACAATCGACACTCACAGCGGTCATCCGGGAGCGAATCGCCAGTCCTCACAAGCAAACGGAAGAGGTCAGAATCCAGGGAACAAGAAGAGACGCATAATGCGCCTCGAAAGGCTCCTAAAAGCCCGGCCATACGGCTGGATGATTCAATAGACTCTCTACCTCAGGCAGCTACGTCGAGTGACGCTAGTATGTCCCATGTGGAAAGTGATGTCAACAAGTCCTCAGAAAATGGGGGTGGCACGTCAAGCACACCATGGCACGAATATGATTCTCATCTAGTACATCAGGCTCAGCGTGCACAACAATTTGACGCTTCTGATGCTCAATTGGCAGAGGCACTCCAGCGCGAGGCCAATGACAATGATCCAACTCAAAAAGATTGGGATAGTAATTGTCCAGCAGAGGGACCTGCGCAAAGCGAGCAGCCATCGTCGTTAACTGCTATTCCTCAGGAACGGCCACAGGCAGCAGTGCAAGTTGCACCGAAGAGGAAACGCGTCTTTAGCAACCGAACTAAAACTGGCTGCATGACTTGCCGAAGGAGGAAAAAAAAGTGTGACGAACAGCACCCTGCTTGTAAGTCTGTGGCGACATGCTCCCCGCAACTACGTTTGTGGTACGGATTACCATCTAACATTGTCGACGCTGCAGGCAATAACTGTATCAGGGGAGGATTTCTCTGTGAGGGCTATTCGTCTCGAAGCACTTGGCAAAAGCCTTCAAATTCAAAGACACCGGTTCCTCTGCAATCAAAGGATGGCTATCTGGATGTCAATACCCCCCCATACGTGCACGATATAAGCCAACAGCATGACCGGCAACAAACCTCGTCAGAACAACTTGACCCCGGGAAAATAAGGCCCATTGTTGTTAATGAAAGCGACCGCACAACTACTCAATTCAATACAAGCCCCACGGGAACTGGCTCAGGTCGCGGGCCTTGGACAAAACGCACCTGGGGAAGCACAAGCCACCCCGCCTATATGTCGGATCACGTTGCAAAATCTGATTATCGCGAAGTTCCCCCGATTCATGAGTTATCTCGGGAAACCCATCAAAAGTCTGATTTCCCAATCGTTCCTTCAATTAGGGAGCTTCCTCACGGAAGCCATTCTAAGTCCGGGGGCGTGCCGCTTTTCCAGGGCGGATTAGACCAACGTTCAGCACATTCTGGTAATATGGACACCAATAGCCCACGGGCTCAGGCCCGAATGGCTCTCAACATTGAGCATCAGTTATCTACTCGTACGGTATCTGCTGAGGACACCGAAAAGGACAAGATGATACGTGGTGACCTCTACCGACCTTACGATGTCCATCTTGTGGAAGAGAGAGATCGCTGTAAAACTGCCCTATGGCGTTTTAACAATGCCTGCAACCCTATATCCGGATTAAGCACAAAGGAGCAAAGTCGGCTACTGAAGGAGGTGCTTGTTCCTCCGGGCTCGGTTACCAGTCCCCCTCCCAGTGTAGCCTCGTCTCGTTCCACGGGGTCGTTGGGACAAGGCGCTATCGTCGAAGCACCTTTCTATTGCCATTACGGCTACAACGTGCATATTGGTGAGGATGTCATGATATCAGAAAACTGCTTGTTTGTCGACGATAGCCCCATCACCATCGGAGCCCATACATGGATTGGGCCCAGGGTTACCATACTCACATCAATGGCTCATGCAAATATGCAAGAACGCAAAGGCTCTCAAAGTCGATATCAAGGCCGTCCTGTTACGATTGAGGAAGATTGCTATGTTGGCGCTGGCTGTACGATTTACCCGGGTGTTCGGCTACGACGGGGGGCATATGTTGCTCCTGGAGAGGTGGTGAAGTCTGACATCGTAGCCTACGGTTTTCAAGGTCTAAAACCAAGTTACATGTGATGTACTTAAATTTTTGGGCGGTATTTACGGGTCCGCTTCTGGTTGTAAAGATGCAACCATTGTTTATTCTCCTATCTCATCGACCTTCAGCTTTTCTTGTAACTATAATGGTTCATTCATAGCATCCATGTTTGGGGGTCTAACTGATTCAGAGCACAAGGCATGCGGTATTCCGTACTTCACAAAATCCCAGTGCTCTTGTGTCATGCCTTCCGGTGGGTTTCGTGGCGAAACCGGATAAAGTAGCTCGGTAACTACCCAGATAAGAGGGGCAGTGATTCCTATCACTTTGAGGTGTGGGTGAACAACGGGAGGCACTTATTCGCCGAATGCATACCGAACTTGGCATTTTGATAGATGGAAGGGCTTGAGCTATATCTGTCTTGGGTCATCAAAAACCATAAGTACATATTTGTTTTGAAAGAGACAACGACTTCTCCTGCGTATACTGATTTCCACGACAGTGTCTTGACCAAGTGAGTTAAACTTTGATGCTTCTTCCCTGATATCAAGTTCAAGCAGACCAGCTCCATTTAGGCGTAGAACACCACAATAAACAGTGGGTGATCGTTCAGTTCATGAATTGGGCTGATCTCAATATATGCTTAAGAAAGCCAGTCCAGAAAATCAGGCACAAAGTAGCTCACTATGATACCAGCACCGGCCCGTAATATCCCCTCGGTGCTCTCAAAGGCCATAGATTTCAAATCAAAAACCCCCGCCTTAGCCCCTGCATGTATCATAGCATACTCACCGCTGACCTGGTAGGCAGCAACTGGCATATCTTTTGCAAGCTCCTTGGCGTCTCTGATAATGTCCAGATAGCTACTTGCAGGCTTCACCATTATAATGTCAGCACCCTCGCCAATGTCTCTCTGTATCGCTCGCCGAGCAAGCCCGCGACCGCCCGGGGGCAATTGGTAGCACCTTCGGTCTCCGAAGGATGGGCAGGACCCTGCAGCATCTCGGAAAGGACCGTAAAGGCATCCACTAAACTTGGCGCTATAGGACATCAGAAGGACACGGTGAGCAATGCCAGCTTCAATCAACTTCAACTTGATGGCGCGGACTCTTCCGTCATTCATGTCCGATGGAGCCACACAGTGAGCCCCGGCGGCAGCATAAGCCAATGCTACATCGGAAATTCGATCAACGGATAGTGCGTTGTCCAATGTTCCGTCCTCACGCAGTATCCCGCAATGACCATGCGAAGTATATTCACAGAGACAAACATCGGTCACGATATAAAGCTGGGGAAAGCGCGAACGAAGAACGCGGATGGCCTGAACTACTGGCCCGGTCGGGTCGTCTGCAGCGGTCCCCAATGCATCCTTTGCAGATGGGTGCAAGGGCACGCCAAATAGCATCACAGAACGCAGGCCTTTCTGGACCAATGGCCTTAGAAACGGAACCAATCGATTCAGCCCTCGACGGTGTTGATTTGGCAGGGATGGAATGGGCGTCTCTTCATCGGGATTGTCAGTGATAAAGAGAGGGTAGATAAGCATCTCCTGAACCAAATTAGAGCATGCTATGTGACTATATTACAATTCAAACCTTGGTCAACTGCTTCTCCGCTTGCCATGATCTGCTCAATGGATGACTGTAGCCAGAATGAAGCTGACTAGAAATATCACCAGATATGCTAACACTTGTCGCAGCCGTGCTAGTGTATGACCGGGCAGTAACCTGCGACCGTGCATGGGAAATCTGCGAACTTCGGTCATCCTGGGAATCTCTGAATGCGAGATCAGAGACAAGGTTGGAGAATGACATGGTGCAGTAAATTATGTGCAAGTCGTGAAATAGGATAAGCTTGATTTCTGTAGACTAACGAAATACGGCCTTAAGGGGGTGAATAGCCCTGAGATGCGATGGGTCCGGACTCGAATTGGTATTCTGTCGCCGAGCTGAATGTAGTATGACAATGAATAGGGATGTAGAATATCGAGTTGTATGGAAGAGCTCTCAAGGTTTAATATGATGCTTCCTGAATACTACTCGAATAATAAGTACTGTTATCTAGTATTTGTGTCTGATTACTAATAGCTGGAAGGACTGGTGGCGGAAGGCCCATTAGCAATTGGCAATTGCTATTTGGACTGCGTGTAATCTAAACGGACTGCACATACAGCCCCACTCTGGAAGATAGTGTGACGGGCTAGGAAGCCGGGAGACTACTTAAGATAAGATAGTAATAAGAATCAAATTTACTGAAAAATAAATTATCTAATTATAGATGGACTAGCTTTTCCAGCCCTTTCTTATAAATAATTTTTTTAATCAGTTTCTATACAGCTTTAGAAAAAATTAATTATTTGGATATTATTTTTATAATTCTAGAAGGTTTTTTAAAGTTTTTTTATCTTTGAATTTTTACTTTTTTGTAAATATTATCAGATTAATATTATAAAATTAAACATACTAGAATATAAGATATTTTGATTTTAGGTAATTAGTAGAATTTAATTTTCAAAATATTATACTTTTAATTATAATACTGTTAAACTAACCTATATATTACTCGTTGCTACACGCCTTAACCCTCTTTCAGGATTAGGTCGGCCACAGCTCAACAGATCCCCTCAGCTCAATGAATCAGTTGCTTTTTATATGTGACTCCTATATAAAATATATTTTCAGAAAATCTTTACTAACTGTAAGAAAGAGAGTCCTTACAAGGGTTGTTGCCCATGTGATGGGCTCAAGAGCCCAAGCACTACTCAAGGTATGTGATGGTAAGTAAAAATTGAATTCTCTGAAGAGTTATCTAACTATAGATTAAATAATCTTTTTTATAATTAATCTTTTTTAAAGACTTCCCGTACAGTGTTAAAAAGTCTCTATATTTTTTAACTAATTTCTTTGTAATTTTAAAAAGCTCTTTAAATTTCTTTTTTTTTCTATTAAATAAATTATATATTTCTACAGATATTATTAATCTAGAGCTATAAAATTAGATAAGCTAAAATATAGAATATTCTAATTCTAAATATTTAATAGAATTTATTTTTTTTATTATTTTTTACCTCATCTTGACGCGATAGAGCTGATATAAATTTTAATAAAAAAATTAATAGACTTATACTAGATTTTATAAATTTTTATTTTATAGAGTTTTATAGTTAGCTTTTAAATAAATATAATATAACTCTTCTATTTAATTAAGAATGTTTTTTTATATCTATATGTTAGATGCCTCAGGCAATCCTGTGACAGACAGCACGCCCTCTCAGTGTGCCAGGATCATAGAATCTATAAGGAGACAGATTATCTAACTAAGTAATCTATATAATTAGATAATTTAGTAAAATATTTATTATACTAATCACTGAAAACTTTAGAAAGCTAGTAATTAGTTATATATATATATATATTTTTATAGTATATAGACTTATAATTTAAGATTTAATCTAATTTTTAAAATTAATCTTCTTTTATTTTATATCTTTTTAAACATTTTTAATAATTTTAATTATTTATTTAATATGAAAGGCCTGGAACTAAAAATAATATCTTATATTTAAAATAGAATCCTAGAAAAAGGCTTATCTAATTTATTAAGTAATCTTATCATTAAGTCTTTATATTTTAAATAATTAAATCTATAATATAATGAAGATTTTATAAAAATAATTAGATTAATTAATTACTCTAGAAATAATAGAGATAATAATATAATTATTTTAAAATAAAAGTTATGTAAGAAAAGAATAGAGATTAAAAAATTATAATTATAGTAATAACTTGCAGAGCTGGATAAAATACTAGTTAAAAAAATATAAGATAAATTAAAATATATTAATTATAAGATCTAGAAGTAATTTTTCTGATTGATTATCTAGCTATTAAAAAATCTCTTTACTATATTATAATTTTTTATCTTAATTAAAAATTATAAGGCTACTCATAAGAGTACTACTAGATATAAAATATTATAAAAATAATATAATTAAATACTGTTACTATATAGTAAAGTTAAGGGATTATTTTAAAGTAAATAATTATTATTTTAGAAATAATAAGATAAAGATAACAAATATTATATTTTATCTTATATTTATACTTCTTTTACTATAAAAATAATATATTAAAAACATATTTTTTATAATATGAAAGAATCTTATCTAAAAAGATTATTAAGTTTTTTAATTATATTAATTAAATAACTTTATAAATTTGTGAAGAGATATTAACTAATATTATTAAAATATTAAATAAAATCTATAATAATTAATATATGAATTTTTATAATATATTTATTAATAATACTTATAATTATTTATAATATATATAGCGAATTAATAAAAGAATTATCTATAAATTAAAATATTAGAAAAGATTTATTATAGAATAATTAAATATTTATAAAAATTAGAGATTTATAATAATTATATCTTATATTTATAAATTATAAAGAATTAGATATTAAAATAATATTTATAAAAAAATAAGATTTAATAAATTAAAGACTTTCCAGAGTGAAATAATAAAGTAATTATTTATTTTAAAATTAATAAGATAGTTATAAGAGTTAAAATATATGAAATTATAATAATAAGATAAGGTAATTATTTAATATAAAATAAAGTTGTATTCATACTAATTACTCTAGAACTTTAAGTATAAAGAAATAAAAAGAAAAACAGAAAGTGTTATAGACATCTACTAAAAAAAATATTAATAATAATAATAAAATAAACAGAATAATATAAATATTATATAATATCTAATAAAGCTTTTGTTATATTATCCTCTTACTTAAGCCTGACTATCCTCAGTTAGAGAAATACTATTATCATTACAATCTGTAATGAATTTATTTTTTTATTGTAATATCCTATCCTGTAAACAGCTTTCTAATATTCACTTAACTTTTTATTTAATATAATTATTAATTTTAATAAAAAGTATTTAATTAAGAATATGTCTGGGCAGTAATTCCAAGATATTATATAAGTAAAGCTTATTAAAATAAAAGATTAAATAGACTTTAATACTATTAAATAGCAGAACTCTGAATATATAACTAAATTTTTCAATAATAAATATTAATCTATATATTATAATGCTTGTCTGCCTGCCTAAATCTTATTTAAATTTTATCTGATTCTTGTATAATTATCTAATCTTATTTCTGAATATTTCTTATATAGTATATACAGTATTAAATTATTAACTTTATATTCTAATTTTTTATTAATAGTATAGCAGGATATATCTAGAATATATAGTCTTATATATCTACTGTATTAAATTAGTAATACTCTTACTTAACTTCTTTCTTATAATTAATATAATTAATTATAAGATTATATTATTTATAGAACAGAATCTTATATCCAGAATTTAAATTCTTCACAGTATCTTATTTAATTCTTTTAAATATTATTTTATTTATAATTAGTTTATTAAGTTAGCCTGTATTCTATAATCTATTAATATACAGACTGATATTATTTCTATCTATATTAATAATAAAATAATAATATTAACAAAGTCAAAATCTTTATATAATAAGAGTCCCAGTACTATTACTGTATAGAAAGTTAAGATATCTAATTTTTTATTTGATTTTCTATATTTTTATATTCTTATCCTGTGTATTTTAAGTAGTTTTTAATAAAGCAATTACGCTTTTTATATTTAAAATACTTTATTCTATTTATATTACTAGAGAATTCATACTTTTTATTACTATTATTTTATATATCTCAATTCTTATAGTTATCTTATTAATTTTAAAATAAGTAATTACTTTATTATTTTATTCTAGAAAGTCTTTAATTAATTCAATCTTATCTCTATATTATAAAGAAGCAGAAATTATTTTTCTATAAGTATTGTTTTCTCTTTATAATAATTTTTTTATATTATTTTAATATTTAATTCTTTATAATTTATAAATATAAGATATAATTATGATAAATCTCTAGTTTTCATAGATGCTTTACCATTTTATAATAAATCTCCTCCGACATCCTGGCTTGTAAATAATGTTTTATTAATCTTTTCTATATAGTTTAGATAATTATAAGTACTACTAGTAGATATATTATATAAACTTTTATATTAATTACTGTAGATTTTATTTAATATTTTAATAATATTAATCAATATTTCTTTCTAGATTTACAAGATTATTTAATTAGTATAATTAGAAAACTTAATATTTTTTTTAAATAGGGTTCTCTTATATTATAGAGAATATTTTTTAATATATTATTTTTATAGTAAAAGAAGTACAGATACAAGATAAGATATAGTATCTATTATTTTTATCTTATTATTTATAAAGTAGTAGTTTTTTATTTTAAAATAATTTCTTAACTTTACCATATAGTAGCAGTAGTCAGTTATACTATTTTTATAGTATTTTATATCCAGTACTGCCCTTATAAATAGCCTTATACTCTTTAGTGAAGATAAGAGATTATAATATAGAAAAAGAATTGTTTTCTATTAATTAGATAAGAAATCAGAAAAATTACTTTTACATCCTGTGATTAGTATATTTTAATTTATCTTATATCTTTTTTTAATTAATATCTTATTTAGTTTTATTACTTATCTCTATAATTACAGCTTTTAACCTTTATTTTTTTTATATAGTTTTTACTCTAAATCAATTATATTATGATTTTTACTATTCTAGAATAGTTGGTTAATCTAGTTATTTTTATAAAATCCTTACCATACTGTAGATTTAATTCATCAGAATATAAAGACTTAATAATTAAGTTATTTAATAAGTTAGATAAGTCTTTTCTTAAAAT